GGAGTCGGATTGGATGCTGCACTGGTTGGAAACTGAACAGAAAGGCTTCGTATCGTGCTCATATGGTGGGTTATGTGAATGCATTATTTTGCACTGAATATATTTGTCTCAGAGCTTGAGGGGAGCTGCTGTGATGAATCTCCAAAATTAAAGTAACCTCTTAATTGGCACCATCCAAGAGGTGAAAACAATGTTGTGAGACAGTGCTAATGGGCGTTGTGCATGTTTATAAATAACCGATTGCATATAGAGCTTCAATTGTGACTCATTGATTGTGATTTCCCTCCACTAGTGTTATGGAGGGTGTAGCATGTAATGTTTCCACGCTGTGATAACAAGCCATTTGAAAAATGCGAACTCGCTAGCATATGTTCTCGCAAAGGTTCTCCACTCTGTCTAGCTGAGGGTTGCCAGCACTTACTCTTATAAGTGGCGTAATTTGTTGAGTATCTGGAGGTGATAGAATGCAGGATGGGGGCTGAAATGATTCAGAGCTCCATCCAGTAGAAACGCAGATAATGATGCTGACATTCGGCATATCAGCGGACTCAGGGGTGCTTTTATATGAATTCAATGCACCATTACGTCAACATAACTGTGAATGGGTGTCTTTCATTACATTGCTTACTTGGATTACGTCTAAGGTGTTACATTTGTTTTGATCGTGTCTAATGTCATTTTGAGCTAAAGTCGTCATTCAGAGTCGCTGTAAAAAGTGGGAGTGACGTTCATGGGCGTCTTGGAAACCTCAGCTGGGGATTTAATCTTGTCTGGGTACTTGTCTTGACTTGATTTCATTGCCACCTTTGTGAGAGTCTACAGATTGGACAGATTTAACCACCCTGGATGGGAGAATATGCATCTTTTGTGAGATGGCTGAGAAATGTCTTACAAAAATGAGGAGTTTGCTTTTACATCTTGCATGCAGTTGAGTGTTTTAGGCTTTTTAGTAAACTTTACTGACCATTTGTCAGTATATATATATATATATATATATATATATATATATAGTAAAGTTAGTAAATTAGTTGCATGTTTACTGTGACTACTTCACCTGACCTGCAGATGACAGTTGTGTCATCTTTATATTGTTTCAAATTCAAACTGTACAAATGCAGGAACCTTATGATCTTCTCACCTTGTTGTCTTCACGTTTTCTGTTTTTTTTCCCCAAGGAGTTCATAAAAGCAGCAGTCAAAATGAGTGCTGCCACCTAGTGGACCAAGCAATAGTCTATTTCAATAGTCGAAGCAGTCGATTTCAGGCAGATGTGCAGCTGGCACATCCTTTAGAGTCCTGGCATGCATTTTTTAAATGCATGTTGTACGTCTTGCTCTGTACAATTAATCTGTAAATATGTTATTTCCAAAGATTTATTTTTGCCATTTTTGCATTAATTAAGATAGGACAGTAACAAGACAAGAAGTAAGAGAGAGAGGGGGACGAGATCAGGAAAGGTCCACAAGCTGGGACTCGAACTCAGGACTATATGTTGGCACGCTGCCCACAAAGCTATCGGTGCCAATCCGTGAATATGTTTACATTTTTTTCAATGTTCTGACCTTGACATTTTTCATCAAAATGTTGTAACTGGATATTCCAATGAAAACTTCTCTCTGGTGATGTATACAGGACTTTTCCAATCATTTTACACTCAGTTTACGCTCATCTACCGCCACATCTCAACAGCTAATCAACAACTAATGCATTGAACCAAGTCCCTACCCTTTTCCCTTTCAAATTTTCATTTGTATCACAATACAGAAAAAAAGATCTGTCACTACTTTAAGTTCTAGGTAGACTGCAAAATTGTTTGTACTTTTTGCAGAAATAAACGGTAAAAATTATATATTAAATATAATTTAAAAATAAAAATAAAGTCAAATTAAAATTAAAATTAGAAACTGGTTAATTCTAAGTTACTGTTCCATACACGTGTGATTGTAAATGGTTTACCTTGCATTATATGTAATTTTACTGTAAAATACTGTCAAGTGTATGGTTTTTACAAGTAAAAACTATGAATTACCATGTAATTCAGGGTAAAAAACAGTATAATGACATTCCCATGTGGTCATGTGGCTTTCTGTTTTACTACCTATATTATTATTGTGGTTATCAATATATTTTTTAGCTAAAAATCAGATTTTGAGTTCAAGTAAACTTGGTAACATTATATCATATAATTGAATATTCGGTTTTAAGTTGTAAAATATACAGGCACTAATATGCCACACAGTAGTAACTGAAACACTGTCTCCATGATTTTTTTTCTCCACGATGGTAAACTTCTGGCAAGCACAGCTGCTGGTTTTTTTCCTGTAAATTTAACAGGATATTTTTTCTGTGTAGTCACAGCTTATTTTTGTGGGCAGCACTCAGACATATGGTGCAACAGCATTTTGGGTGACCCGAGTTAATGTCCTGGCTCATGGTCCTTTCTGAGTCCCATTCTCCTCTCTTGTATCCGACTGTTTCCTGTCTCTCTTTAACTGTCCTATTCAATTAATGTCAAAAATACCACTAATATAACTTAAGAAAAGTTATAGACATAAGAGAAGGTCAGAAAACATCCTGGCAGAAATTCTACCCCATAGCTGACCCTGATGACTTGAAACCTCCACAAACAATTTATTTATTTTGCAAGCATAAGATTCTTCTACTTATTATTATTTTTTACTGTAATCAGACCTGCATATTCTAGACCACCAATGACTGTATTTGCATTTGATGAGAGTCTCTTTTATTCTCAGTGCAATTCCACTGAAATCAAGCTAATCCCACATCCATACTACCAAGTTTTTTTGTTTTGTTTGTTAATTTTTTTCTTGCTAATCCACTGTGGCCCATTTGCCCATCCGTTCAACTGCTGGTTTTTGGCACATTCTGATTTTGAATCCGTCACGGCCATTAACCATTTATAACAGATCTGTTCTAGAGCTTAGCATTTGTGAAATCCTGTAAATGAGTGTTAGCTGGGAAATCCTGCATCATGCTGCTATGTGTTAAAAGGATGTGCAAGATTTCAGTCAAGTTTACAGCTCACCTGTGGGTGCGTCTGTCACTTTCACAAACACCTCTCCTGCTGCAAAGACTGTTTTGTGTGGCGCGGGGTAAAATGTTCTCTGTTTCAGCAGCTACGACCTGCAGCTGAAAGCTCTAGAAGGTTCCACAGTGATCTTTGCTTCCGCAAGGCATGGCATTACTGTATGCAAGTGCTGCCATCACACAGACAGGCACTCTATATACTGTTACACAGCAAATACTCCATTTTCATGTTTTCATTTAAGAAGTTTAGCTGAAATGTTATTATAGTGAAGATCTCAGATCTAATTTGTCTGATATTTTCTGTCTACAAAAAGATTGGATTACTTTTGGTGTGTCTGGCGATTGATGTGCCAGAGCGCATCTTCACAGGGTTACTAATTATAAGACCAGGAAAAATGAAATTATGCATTAAGCAAACAAATAAATAAAAATGCAGTAACACATTTGAAGTCTTTTAGATTATGCCAAATGGGATTGGTTCAAGTGTGCTCAGATTCAAAGAAAACAAGTGTGTGTAACTTTGTCTTTGTATTGCCGTAAAGCTCAACTAAATGTTTCATTTTTCCTCCCACATTACGATTAAAAGTCAAATTAAAACATACCGTGCAAGACTGTGCATTAATAATGAGTACATTAATGGCTTTGCAATGTAAGCACCATAACAAAGTCCTTTGCATGAAAAAGGCTGAAGACCCCTGTTATTATGACTGACTGAAAACAATAATGAACAGTAATGACAGAGAACTAGATGTGTGGAACTCTAAAAATGCAGTGCTTTGACAGACATACATTTAAATGTTACAAAACCAAATATTACTGACTTTTTCAAAACAGTTAATAGGTGCAACTCCAATGGAAATTAAAACATGTCATCAAAATGTCAGCATGCGGATATTTTATTATGCATTCAGAACATAGGCCTACACAGACTTTTTGAGTGAAAACTTGACATAAATGTTTTTTATACCTACACTACTCTAAAACCTGTTGACGTTATTAGATATTAGGCAAACCAATCTTTCAAATAGTAAAGACCAAATGTCCTTGGTTTTTGACATGTTAAACATGTTATTTCACTATATTTGTAAGGACATTTGGCCCTCACAATTATAATAAAGCTGTATACACACTCACAGGCTTTACTGACCCTGAATTTCTCTCAGGTCTAAACCACACGCGGGTTAAGCTTACTTGTACAATAAATGGCTGAATATCTCAGTAATGGCAAGGACAACATGACAATAGGAAAAATGTGACGACTATAAGTGCCCAACCACGAATAATAGTCTACTTATTAATAAGCATATCATCATGACTCGGTATGAAAAAAAAACATTAATAAACTCATTGGGGAACGTTATGTCACAATTTGTCCGTTATTAATAATTAATGTGTTATTTCAACCCAGACTTGCTGTGATTTCATGCCTATTTATTGCTACATTACTCGACATTACTCAGAGCACCTGCTCTCAAAACAGTTTCAAAAATCTCAGGCGAAGCGATGCGACGTCGCTAATCTCATATCTGTTTCTTTCACGCTCTCACTCTTATTTCTTTTTTTACAGAATAGCTTAAAAATCACGTGTTAGACAACTTTTCGACGTAAATGCGGTCAGGACTCTAATTACTTCAGGGATAATTAAAGCACGCAACACTGGAGGCAATCGAGTGCAGAGTAACAGCATCTTTACCTCGCGCCTAACGTTACATGTTCATCGACAGGTTTGGGTTTTGTGTGACATCTTCACGACTGCTGCACTCACAAACTCCATCGCAAATTAATAAACTTGAACACAGTCGAAACGGAAGAAATCGTGATCTCTTAGTTTGTTTCAACAGATGTTCCGCCTGTTATGCGATGCCAGTATGTGATAGGAAGGAAAGGCTTGAAAGGAAATACATAAAAGAAAAATTTAAGACAATATACCAAAACATCTAAAGTTGTTTTACCTGCTCGGAATGGCACAGAATACGCACGGGATGGATGAGGAAATCCAAACTTTGAAGACTGCGAGCGTTAATGGCTCGTTTGTGAGCGACGCATTAGATCGGCGCAGTTCTGACAAGACTATCGGCGTGCAATGCTGCTGTCTGTCTCTTCCTCCCTCTCTCTCGCTCCCCCAGAGAAATGAATAATCTCTGCTTTCATCTGGATCACCGAATCGCTCCCTCCCTCTCCAGTTTGCGCGCTCTGTCTATCTCTATCTCTCCTTCTCTCTCTCTCTCTCTCTC